TATTTATTTATTATTATTATTTTTTTTTTTTATTTGTATCTTTGTTGTGACTATGATTAACTCAATGTAATTGTTGGTTTCACACGCATTTTTACGCGAATTTTGTGCACATTTTTTAGCTTTTGCGAAACTTGAATAAAACTTGAATTAAAGTACGAGTACGAGACACGCTTTACAACAATTTCGCTTTAATTGCACTTATATAAAAATAAGGAAAATAAGCAAACCAAGTCGCGTATGTTGCAAACGCCTTTGTCGCAGCCTCAACTACGCTCTGCTATGCTCTGCTCTGCTCCGACTATCTAGCGATCATGCGTGCCTCCGATTCGTTTAACGTCACCGGCTCGTACTCAGAGTCCCCGTATTACAAATTGACTTCACTCGCCGACCGCTTAAAATGGAATGAATTCTCTTTTCTCAGTTTTGTGCTCTGTGCTCTGCTTTGATTTCGATTGCATGCGTGTACACACACATACATGTGTTTGTGTGCGTGTATGTGTGGGTAACTGTCTCTGCTTGTACAAGTGCAGGCGACAAGTTTGTCGCTAGCAATATGCTACTAGATAAAGAACTGCTTGCAATTGTCGAGTAAAGTTTGAGTTTGTAAAAATTTTAACATTCATAATATGAAAATCAAATAAATCACATATAGACGATAGCTGTTTAACATTAAGCGAAAGAAATTGTTGACTCTTTACGGATGTATAACATAAGCTCAAGAGAAATGAGCTACAAATATAAACCTCTGCAAGAAGCTATACAAATATATGTTACACATGGATATGCGAGGCAATATGTTTATTAAACTCAACAAACAAATCTATACTAGCCTAAATAAATCACTGAATATATTGTTTCTCATCTCTTCACATTGTCAGACTACCCGCATTTATATTTTGCATGAATCTACATTCAAGCTCTGTACAGCTATAGATGAGTTGTCTAAGTGAACAAGACACTACGAAGCGAAGATGCAGGCTTAACTCTCAAGCATATTATTTTCATTTCCATTTTGAATACTAGTTTTCTAACTGTACCCCAACTTCACATGCTCCGATTCATAGAAGTTATAGTTACTTCTACACACATCATGTGCATTTGCCTTATGGTTTACTTAATTTTTGTCGCCTGTCACACTATTCTCTTTCAATTCACAACCACCAGCAGTTGCTAGACACTAAGTTGCAAGCACACAGGGTGTGCATCTCGTATCGCTCTCTCTGCCTCTCTACCGCTCTCCCTCTCCCCTTCACTAAGTGTAGATTGAACGCAGACCGTTTGCATTCTTTACTGTCGCCATGGAGCCAGGCCAGAGCCAGCGCCTGTCCATGTGATTGGACGTACTTGTTTCCTTTAATGAGTAAGAACTCACTGCCATATGGAGAGCTGAGGCAGAGGCTGAAGTGGGCCCGGCGATTTGTCAGCTTTTATTTAATAAAATGCGCATAAAATACATATTTGCTTATAATTAAAAATGAACATGGTTATTAAGCATGCAGAATGCCCGCAGATCAGCTTGGACATGCAAATGAGTAGCACATGTCGGCCATAAAACGAGCAAAACAAAGGATGGCGATTTATATAGCAGATATATCTGTAAAGACATATGTGTGTGTGTGTGTGTATAGTGCATGAGTGCACTTATAGTATATGGATTAGCTATGTTTTTGCCGAAATTGTTGAGCCCGCCCTGACTGCAGTCATTGAACTTGTGGGTAAACAGAGAGAGAGAGAGAGAGAGAGAGAGAGGGAGAAAGAGAGAAGGAAAAACATAAGTAATAAAGCAGCAGGCATTGTTTAAACACAATAAACGTGCTTATCAGCTGCTGTACGGCGATATGATATAGTCTGGCAGCAATTTCTTGTTGGTGTAGGTTCGCGTACAGCCGGACAAGGGGACAGCTCAATTTGGTGCCCCTGGCATGGAATTGATACAAATTATATAAGTTGCCAGGGCAGAGCTCAATTAGAAAGCACTTAGAGAGGGAGGGAAACCCATATGGATACCCATGTGGGAGGGAGAGAGAGAGAGAGCAAGTCAAGTCTAGCCACCAAGAGGCAGCTGATAAGCCTGACTCTTGCATTAACTGCACTTGTCTATGTAATTGAATTAGTCCCAGCGTTTATCAGCCGCAATTGTGGAGCAATAAAAAGCAAAAGAAAATAACGGAGTTTAGGGCGCTGATAAGTTTCACATAAATGTCAATTCACAGCTCGTCAATATGTGCTACGAAATATCAATTTGGAATTAGTTCAGCCGAGTTGCCCATTCGGGGCACACGTTTTATGCATAAATAAGATTCCTTTTAAAAACCATATAAATACGTAATACTAGAGTTGTAAGTCGTAAACATGTGTGTTTATTTTCCTTCTCTGTGAAGGGTGAGGAAGAGGGGCAGGGGGAGAAGGGAGCAGCAGATATCAAACAAGAGCAATATGCGGTGCAAATAGGAGGATATGCCCTGTAATGAGAGGCAGAGCTACCAGCATGGGGTAGATGGGTGCTGAGGGCCTATCCTATCCCTGTATAGACTTATATGTCCATATATGTATGTATATATACAAAAATTGAAATGGCTTTATAGATAGAAGGACATGAGTCTTTAACTACAGGGTATATCATAGTCGAAAACTCTTAAATTTAATTTTTATACCTTCCATTTAAAACTTCTCAGGTATACCATATCTTACTACAGGGTATCTCGTGGCTGAGCATTCGCCCACAGCCAACCCCTATATATGCATACACATACATATTTATATACATATGCATTTAAGAATTTTCCATTTCAAACTTTAAGCAGCAATTTAAAAGTTTTCAATGTAAACATTGATAGCGGTAAATGCAACTTGGCCGCAGCGTGGCAATGGATGGTAATGTTATAGCTGCACGCACAAAGTGTCGATTGTCTACGGCCACGCCCACCGCAAGCTCAAGCATAAGCACAGGCACACGCCCAGGCACAAGTTAGTGCAGAGCATAATTAAGCGCTCGCTAGCAGATTTGACAGCAATTATGGCAGCAAAACATTGCAGTTGCTGCTCGTGTTGCTGCTGCAGGGGCAACGAGCAGCACCTGCTACTGGGGGCAGCCACAGACACATACACGTACATAAATTTATATGTAGCATAGTTTTTATGCGGCACATAATTGAAGTTCATGACCCAACAGTCGCCCTCGCACGCGTCTGCTCTTGTTTGTGTGCGCCGCCTCCCTTCAATGTTGCTGCCGTTCCTTATGTTGCTGTTGGTGTTGCACTTGAAATGACTGCACATGCTTGTGGCGGCGAGCAATGAGAAAGAGCCTAGTTGATGATAGACCTGGAGATGCCCTGGAATTCTTGAGCTGTTGCGTTGAATACTAGTACTAGAATATAATATACACTATATGCCTAAAGAGGACAATGTTAAACACTTATATGCCGTATCCTACCTATAATTATATATACATATATATATATAAAGAATACCTGAATAAATCATATAAAGTAAATATAAATATATACAGAAAAATTGTAATGATAAACGATATTCTGCCGGAATCCATGAATCAGGTTTCATGCATGTGAAAATAGTCTAAGTATCGAATCAATCTATACCGAAATATCTCAGGCTTTGTGCACTAGTTCTAGATATTTCATGAATATAAAAATATACGCATGAGAATAAAGCATTTTTAAATAAGAATATATATAGACGATGATGTCTCTAGCTTATATACCCATAGCTCGTATAACTATACTAGTTCTAGGAAAGGTTTCAATCGACTTATCGATTACAACTATATGCAAGTACAATATTTTGGATACATAATTGCTATACATACATATTTTCTATATACAAGCAGACTCGAATGCATACTCTATGCGGAGCTGATCATACCCCTTTACATATCTCTCATTTCTGATTAGTTTCACTTTCAAATGGGGATCGCAGTTCAGTTTCAGCGCTTCGTTTCGCTTCGTTTGCTGCCCTTGAGTTGGGCTGAACTCCAATTCATTTGGATTGATGGTATGGCTGTTGCAGTTGCAGTTGTTGCTGTTGCTGTGCCACATCGTCTTTTTATCGTGCTCCCAATGGATTTAGTTCGCACTCTGTCTCATAATTATCTGTCGCTATACTTGACGGAAGTTTCATGCACTTTGCCACACAGCTTAACGAATGCGATGCGCCTGTATAGCAAATGCATTTATCAATTTTCAACATGCGCAAGGCATGTATATATATATATAAGTATATAGTATACTCATTCAGCTGACACAAATCAAGGGGCATTAAGCTGTCGCGCTGTCAATGCATCGATCTTGCCAGAAAT